TTTTGGGATTCTCTCATTTCCAATATTTTGGAAAATAAAATCAAATAACATGACAATCTGTAAAATTTTTGTCACCGATTGTATGGCCTAGTTATTTTTAATGGCATGCTATCAAATTTCATTTTTTCATTTTTTTAATTTTAATCTATATTTTATCATCGATATTCAAAAAAAATTTTTTACCAATAATATTATATACTACCATATTATATAGATAAATATGGAATTTTGAATTCCCAATAAAAAAAAAGGAAAAGTGTTTTTACTTTTTAATGACATTTTAAAAATGTGTCAATCATAGTCACCAAGCTATGCAAGGACATATTTAATTAAAACTTCATTTGATTTTTCGTCAGATTTTTATAAGCATCAAACTTTTAAAATTTAAATATTTTTCTATTCGGAATATTTTCTTGGATTTTCTAAATAAAATTTTAATTATCTGTGAGAGTATCTCGTGAGTATCGATCAGAGACTCTCTTCTGACATAAAACAACCGTTCACAATCACCGAGAAATTTACCTTCCGAACCAATCTCATCATGAGGCTCCTTGTCCTGTCTCAGCCCAGCCTGTCCAGGGCTTCCATCTCACTCCCCTACCTCTTTCGTGAGTTCCTCCCAGATCCTTCGCGGCCCAATTGCATAAAATAGTTCCGACCCTAAAAGGAACATTGTCCTCCTCCACTCATTACTCTCTATAGCACACTCATTACTCTCTATATCAAAGTGCCGCACTTACCATCCAATACAATGTAGCTCGGTTCCGCCTGTCTAACTCACTAAACCTATCAAAACAATATCAGCGAACCGATATGACTGCCCGATATGATCGCTATTCCATGTCCCTGATAACTCCTTTCCAGATTGAAACTTACACGGCACATCAATTTCATGCAAGTATCTGGAAGTAGCTCAAATACGTTCCCATTGACTCAAAGTACTTCGTCCTTGTCGCATATTCTTCTTAGTTAGTTCCAAACGAGGTTTTCAACCCAACAGTATACTACTTTGTGGTTCGCGATCTAATCGGGTAACTCAAAGACTCATTTTTCCAGTCTTCGTATTGCCCTGATTTGAGACAAAAAAAATTTCTCAAAGCTGTAATTTCTAATCACATCGTCCATTGGCAAAAGCAGAAATGGGACGTCCCTTAAAAGGTGTTCATGATCCCTCAAGCTCATTGCCGCTGTCGAGCACTTTATTATAACTCCATTAATGCAGATGCATGCAAGTTTTTCGAACTTTTCTATACTCTGCGCCCGCCTTGGAAGAAGTCCTTCCGCTTCATACTTAGACCCCGCAAGGACCACAATAATCATTATTTAATACATCCAACTCATTATAAGTGAGGAGCATTCCCTCGGTCTTCCTAAGATGGATCGCCATATCATGAGCGCTCTGGTGACCCTTGCAACTACTACCTTCTCATCATTCCTCCAATAAAGCTTATTATCAACAATAACTGCAATATATTTTAATTCATTCCTCATCTTCACCTCCTCTCCGTGTACACGGATCACACGCAGATGGCTTCTTTTCCTGGTAGGAGTATCATATTGATCCTACTCGTATTTGATCTGAGCCACACCGCAGCACAATAAGCTTGAGCAATCCGTAGACCAAATAATTTCTTCAACGAAAACTTTTTTGTGTTTTTCATTTCTTTAACAATTTTATAAAACACCACTTTTAAAACAGAATATATAAGGTTATAGTACGCATACTTACATAATAATTATTATTTACTTATTGCGATGTTTCGTCCCCAAAATATTTCACTTATTTTCTTTGAAATTCTTACACATTTTTCTCTATTTTTTTACATTTTTTGTAATATTACAATAATTAATTGTTTTTAAATGTTAATCTTACATAATATAAAGTAATTTTTTTTTTCATTTTTCAAATTCCAGAGCAATTCTTATTAATATTATTTTTTTGTTCTTCATTATCTATAAATATAAAATATTTATTTTATTATAAAATTATCCTCACATTCTCAGGTGTTCTTCAACCCAAATGAGATTAAAAAGTCAATCCTTTAACACTTAAAAAACGGTAAATAAAAAGTAACAGCGACAAAATATAAATACAGAAGCATATAACACGTTAAAATGTATTTGATTTGAGGGTTGAGTTTTTGTTGAAGAAGAAAAAAAAAATCACTCATTTTTAAATACACTTAAAATACATAGTATCCTGTACCCAGAGAAGTATGCAAACAAAATGTTTAAAAATTCCATACTGTTAAAAGCAGAGCGCATGGAGTACATAAAATTTTCATTCAAATTATCCTTATACAGATTTTTTAATATGAAAAGTAAATATAAACGGAAGGAAATGTTGGTACACAGATAGTACAAATTCGTACATATATATATATAAATGTATATACATTCATACATTAAAGTATATATACATGTTATACACAATATAATCGTATAATGTGTTGTTTTATGAGGGCTCAAGAGAGCTTTTAAAAAATTATATAAAATGAGGGTTATTGGTTTTGTGATTTTGTTTTAAAAAAGCAAGAGCACTTCTCATAGTTAAAAATTACATCAATGCTTAGAATATTTTTGTTTTAAATTTCCATAACAGAAATAAAAAAATTAAAGAGTTGGATATTATATTTTAAATTTTGCATTTCTAACACATGTGAATTCTGGATCAAGAACGGTACCAAGTACGAATAAGCTAGAACTGACTTTGCCTGCGGTCTGTTCAAATACTTAAATAATTTTAGAGTGAATCATTCAGCAATCTTCATCAGTGTTATAGAGTTTGGCGCCATCGTAGGAATAGGGGCCATTTTTAAGGTTGATCATCAAACAAAATTTTGACATCCTTTTGGGCACGTAATCCCTCTCCACAAGCATTATACAATTAAATAACTCACAAATCGAAAAGTAGGGTGCTCTTCAATGCATTGACCTTCAGACTGTGAACATAAACTAATTCGCAAATAATATGATTGGATCTGTAAAAATTTTTTATTTACGGCAACACTTTTCCTTCAATTAAGTGTAAAAACGGAGTCAAAACGGTGAACGGAAATGGCGGACAATTCCTTTTGTTAATGCAGAACAACAGCGAAACGGCAAAATCAACTGTTCAGTATTTTGCATATAATGTCCGACACACATGGAAACAGATGATGTAAAAAAAAAGCTATTATTTTACCGCCGCTGTGATAATTTCGCTTTATTCTGAGCAGTCCATTTTATATATCTGAATTCTATATAAATTGGGACGTTTTGCCGCAGAGAGTCGCTCTTGTTCTGTTTTCAATTTAACTTGTTAATCCATTGCAGGAATACCTATACAACTGCGGTACAGTTACACAAGTTTTTTTACTAATTTTAATGTGCATTCCGAATTAAAAACTTTCTGTGTTTATTTCTGTTTAATTTTGATCTTTCAACCCCTCAACACATTGTTCTCAATAAAACAACTTTCCTTAGAAATTCTTGTTTCTTTTACTGTTTTTGTCTTTGTTATATTTTTCATTGTAATTTTTTAAAGAATTTACAATTATTCGAAAAGAATTCTAAATTGGTAAAGAGTATTTTAAATTGGTTTTGTTTTTTTTTTGAATAATTTAGGAAATTTTCATATCTTTGTTTGTTCAGTCCTAAAAAATTTGTTTTTTTTTTGTATTATTTTTGAATTAAAATGAAATTATTTTAAAGAATTTTCGGAAAATATGTGAAGAGTACACAAACATAACGAAAGCGATAATATTAGCAATCTAAAAAGTCCCACACTACCATTTTTAACCTTCATGACCAATATTTACGCATTTTTTTCCTATTAAAAAACTAATCAGCACTTTCCTATTTTTTGAAAATTGCTTTTATAATGGGATGCTAATGACTTTTATATTTAAAGATTAAAAATAATCGCTGGATAAAAATAAATATGAAATTGATAAAAAACACTACGGTTAAATATATAAAAAGAATATGGTTTCCTATTAAATTGTATTAATAACCGTTATTGTATAACCATATAGGATGAGGCTCTAACCATGTAGAAACACCCGCTTTAATGAATTTACAAAAATGTACGAAAACGAATAGCTACTTATTTTATTAGAACTTTATGTATTTTCAAAAGTTTTGAATATGATCCAACGTCACACTCGATAGTTATTGTTGCAGTAGCAGTAACATAAGTCTATCGACAATTTCTGTACGCTTAACTTTCAAAATTTTCAACTTTTAATTGAGCGAGCCGCCTCGATATTGACGCCAGAGAACAAAATAACTGTATGATAAGTAAATTTTAATTTTATTATCCAAAACTGAGTAACTTAGAATCACTATCTATATAGAGATCGTTATGTGCATACTAAAGGACGTAAACAAGATCCCGTAATATCCCATTTTCAAATGTGTTTACGAGAGTGGGTATAGCCTAGTCTGACCCCGAACTGAATTCTTTAAGAACAGTTTCCCTTAAATATAAGGTTAAATATTTTTTGAAATTTTATTTTGAGCATTAACAGTGAAGTCTTCAGAAGACACCTGAACTTTCCGTATTTTCCAAGTCATCTATTTTGGTAATTCATTTGTTGTTGCAAGATTATAATCTTTGAATGCCATTTATTTGAAGAACGGGTAGTCAATTTTTATGTTATTCAAATCTACATAAAATGATTTCTGCTCGTTTTGTTCTATATCCCATTTTTAGTTCACAAGCAGCCTGCCAAGTTTCTTATAAATTCATTAGCATTTCCACCCATTAGTTCCACTACCTTCCTGTATCATCAGTACATGTTATCTTTGTTATGAACTCTATTTGTGGGAAACTATATAAAATAAAATATTAAATACAAGACACCACCCTGACATCTTTAAACAATTCGACGTCTTTACACGAAGAATATTCTACTTTCTTAAAGATGTTCCTTCCTAAAATTATTTAATTTTTCTATATTTTTAATTATTTACTTAGCAAAAATATTAAATTTTTTAATAATAATTTTATTTTTCAGAGCCGATTCTGTTACTTGGAATCCACATAAATTAATGGGCGCCTTGCTTCAGTGTTCTACAATTCACTTTAAAGAAGATGTAAGTTAATGTTCTCATTATTATATTTTCATAGAAATCACAGCAAATCCAAAGGAGAAATCGAATTTTTAATAAAAATCCTTTCCTAATTTACGAGACGTTCATATACCCTTGTTCTTGGTTTCTCTTTTTTAAATTAAAAAACAGGAAAAGACTAAAAACTAAAAAACAAAATTTTTTTTTAAAGGAAACAATTTTCTATAGAGGGTGTTGTGCAATCGATTTTCCACCCTTATGATTATCATTGCAAAAAATATTATTGTATGTAAGTGAGGACGATAGGACACCAAATGCAAATTCATTCACTCATTTCTATGTACTTACTGTACAATACTTCATATTAATAATTCTATTGTACATCATTGTCAGCTGTTTGGTACATTAAAGGATTTTCAATATTATAATATCCTTTAGCAATGTCAAGGAGCAAAAAAAAAATGAATTTAATTCGTATAGGCATTTTATTTTTTCTCTTTTCTCTTTAATCATTTCTATGATTTTTCCTATATTTTATTGTTTATTGTGTTTTCCAAAAAAACAGTAGAATAAAGAAGTTATTTTTCCGTAAATAATACTTTAATGTACCATTTTTTTCATTTCTTATAAGTAGATCCTTTTAAGAATAGAACGGAAAAAAAAAAAACAAAATATTAAAAATATGTAGAAGAAAGTGTTTTCCAATGTGATGTATGAACAAGGACGAAGGACAGCATCCGTTAGTTATACTAGTGTTATGAGTAAATTGTTTTTTAAATAATTGCATACTGAAATTGCAGTATTCAGTAAAACAAGAATAATAAAAAGCTTAAGGTCCTTCTTTTGTTCGACAGCCATGTATTAGTTTAACTTTAAATACATGCATAATTTTTTTTAAAGTCATTCTTTCATATTAGAAATTGCTATTGCTGCCGAATACGAAATATCATCCGAATATAACGATATAAGTATTGTTATATTTTTAGTTCAATTCAAAAATATTTCTCAAAAAAATGTGCTTATTAGTTTCATGCCGTCCGGATATTTTTCTGTCCATTTACAAAAGTTCTACACCTTGAAAAATTGAAAGCTATTCCTCTACATCCCGTATTGTTTTTTCTGAATTTCCGTAAAATAATGTTTTAACATGTCTCAGCATTTAAAGTGAAATCGTCTCTCCTTTATAAGTCGAGGGGCCTCAACATTCATATGATGGTCCAAACGCATCCTAGACTTCATAACACAAATCCTTATGAATGTCAATATTGCGTCCATACCAGCAGGAGCACCCACCATATTACGAAGCACCTTATTCTGGAAACTTTGTATTTGCTTGATAAGTGTTAAGCTTGGCTACTTGACATCCCATATCTGTATACCATATGTCTATGTAGGCTTTATTATTTGATATAGGTTTAACGCAAAGAGATATCAATTTATTTCTTGTTTAAGGAAGTCATGGGCAAACTATTGTATTGCCTTTTCAGCATTAACAGTTATTCAAACCGGTTTTTCTTTAGTTTCAAAAGTTATTCTTCTCCTGCACAGGAACTGAATCGGAACCAACATCAAATTTTAGCAGGTTACATAAAACTATTTAATTTGTTATCGCATTATTTAATTTCTTGCTCGTCTCTCAGGTTATTGCTTCTCAAATTTTAAAAATTTTCCAAACTTCGAACTTTATAAATTCGAACTCTGTTCAACAAACTTCAATTATTTCAGTACAACATCGATTTTATTGTTCAGGCTTAAATCTTGAAAGATAATTACAATTTCTAGATTTGACATTTGAAACATTCAAGACTTCGCAAAGGAGCATAGGGCATCTACAAAGCTTCTTCATCTGACCCTGTTGCGGACTTTTTTCCTCGATTTCTTTATTTATTAACCTTCGCCATGTTTGTTTTGGTCTGCCCACTTTTCCTTTGCCCTGAAGGTTCCACTCTAAGTCCCTTCGCTGAATATTCTTTTCTGCTCTTCTCAGCGTGTGACCAATCCATTTCCTTTTTTTCTCTTGATTTGAAGGTCTATGGGTTCCTGTCCCGTTAATTCCAAAAGGGCCGAGTTCTTTATTTTTGTCGGATAGAATATTCTGCAGATTGATCTAAGGCACTTATTTATGAAGACTTTTGACATGATTAAGAGAAATGTGCTATTTTAAAAACCATATAAATCTGATCTACTACATTTTTTTGAAAAATTCGCTTATAAAAATACTGCAGACTTATAATTGAAAATTCCAGAAATTTTCAATAACGTTATCTATGCTTTCGTAAGCAAAATGCGTTCATGTATATATTGGTGTATTTAAGTTCGAAACGTGAAATATTATTTTTGGTTACCCTCATTAAAATTGTTGAATGTATTTTTTTTTCTATCTACAATATGTTACAACAAACTTACATTGGTCACAGTTGTTTAAAGAATTTTAATTAAAAATTTTGTTTTATTTATTATAATTTTTTTTATTCGTATTAACTGCAATGTTTCCAAAATGTTTGAAAGGAAAAGAGTTTTGTATAGTTGAAAAATTTCATAAAAAAACAAGCAATTTCTTTGATAGAGAAAAGAGTTTCAATTTGTTTAGAAATTGTGAGTTTTTTCTCTTTTGTAAAATAAATTTCAAACTTGTAAGACACTCGCGGCTTAGATGTTCTTCTGTGGAGCAATGTTTCACATTTGTTGCGCAAATGTATAAGGTTTCATTTTCGCCTCTTTACAGAATTTATAAGACATTTTAGTCTCAGAGTCCAGTTTATGGTAAGGTATTTCTCAATCTTACAACATTTCTTCCAAGTTTCTTGAATTTTTATGCTCGTTTCAAATGATTTACTTTCCAAAAATCCTCTCAATCTTTTGGTGTTTTAATGCTTCACCAATTTAGTCTTTCTTTACACTTCTTTTCCAGAGGTTCTGCACATGCTTTTTACAAAACAGCTTTAGCCATATTAAATAGTCATCGTAATCGTATGAGCCTTGCCGCCCGACATAGGGAGAACTCTTCACTTCACCGGTACTACAAAAACACAACTGCCATCCATATAAAATCCTCAAAAATTATATTGTAATTACTTAAAAACGTTACAATTTCAATCCCACCTTAAATGAATCCCTATTTAAATCCTTTCAGACATAACTCATACACACATTTAAAATTTTCTAGTAAAAATTTATTTTTCCATTACTTTAATTTTATTACAATTTACAGTAATTCTGAAATTTTCACTCACCCATCTATTGAATAATATCATCAAATATCATTTTTTCGGTATTTTAATCATTCAATAATAAATTCCTTCATTATATTAAGTGCCAAAACATGTCAATGTTAAATGTTACATGAAATAATCGTGAGAAAATATGCAATACATTTTATTTTATTTACTTTAGGAACAATTTCCTTTTATATTAAAGCCTAAATCCTTTATCCTTTCAACAAAGAAACTGAAAAATAAAACAAAACCTCGAATTCTCTTTACATTTACCATTATTCTTATTGATTGTAAATTTTATTTAAAAATCTATTTAATCAAAATAATTTTATAAAAAAACAAAAAATAAACTTTAATATATTGGAACAATTTGAAATTTTAATTTTAATTTTCTTTTTGTTTTTCTATTTAAAAAAAAAAAAGGGCCTTCTTCTTAGCTGTAATCAAATGTCTGCTGAATATTTATTCATGACTGATAAACAATATGACATTCAATATGATACCGGTGATAAAGTTATTCAATGCGGACGACATAATGATATCTTTAAATTGTGGTTACAATGGCGTTCTAAAGGTACTGAAGGTTTTGAGCAACAACAGGATCGTTTAATGGAATTGGCACAATATCAAGTACGAAGAATTAAAGAACAATCTGATAAATTTCATTTAATTTTGGAACCAGAATGCGTTAATGTTTCATTCTGGTATATTCCAAAGAGATTACGTGGTATACCACATGATAGACAAAAGGAAATGGAACTTGGAAAGGTATGTAATTTAAATTTAAAGTATACCGCATAAGAAATTATGAGTGAAATGATAATTTATAAAATAAATTTGAAAGAATTTCTTATGTTCAATCTAAATTTCTTAAGTATGCAATTTCATGCAATTACCATTAAATTTAAAAGTGATAAAATTAAGTTTTTTACACATTTCTGCTAATAACTGCCAATTGCTGAATTGTATAGTGATATAATATTTCTAAAATTCTAATATGAATGAAACTTGTATTCACGAATAAATTAAGGGTTCCACTAAACTCCTCTGTCCACATCGCAGCAAAACCCCTTAGAAAAGAAGCACAACGAAGGTGTTTGTGCTGGGAAAAGTAAAAGTGGGAGTGTTACTCCTATTCGCCATTTGTAAACTGTTGTTTAAAATAAAATCATATAAGGACTCACCTCTCACAACACAACCAAAAATTAAACTTAACCGCTTGGCTATGACTTTCGACATCATGTTACCGCCTTCTGGCAGAGGGGCAAGGCCATCATAGGCCATATAAGCCAAGTTCATATCCTCATTTTTGGAATTAGAGCAAAGAAAGAACTTAATATGTCTTTTTAACTAAAATGCAGGCACTACTAGTTTGTAGAAGAGGTTATATTTCCGAGTGCCAAGTCTCTTAATCCTGTCACTGTGTATCCAAAGCTCTTATATTAGAGCGATGTTGACGCGAGTTGATCCTCGAATTTTATCATCCGTCGGTGCTTATCAAATGCTCCAATTCCATCCCCGATAACTTCGACTTTACCTTACACCACAGCTCCGTCGACAGTTTGAGTTTGGACAATTTTCTGTCGATGACCCCTAAACTGATTTCGTCGACAAAAAACAGTTCTTCTTCATCTTCCTTTTCTGAGCCTGATATCGGTCGTTTGTGTTGAGAATAAATATGGTTTGTGAATCTTCAACCTCTTCCTCTTTTGACCATATTTTTCATCATCCTGATCAAGAGCTGATGTATTTCATATTCTCAAGAGTTTTGGAGATTCTATATGATTCGAATTCATCAATTACCTTCTGATATTTGATTTTTTTTCTCAGCATCCTTTTCGTAAAGTTTTCCCTCAGTCTTATTTCGGAAAATCTTGATCAGATATATACTTGGCCTTAAAAAACCTCTTCTCAACGATATGACCCAGTCCTTTGGATTTTTTTTCCAAAGATGAAGATTTAGTCGTCGATTTAGTCGTTTTTTACTGGTATGAAAAGAAAACTTCCTTGTATTCGGAATAAAATACTTTTTTTATTTTTTGCTAATATATTTCGTGCGCTACATACGCACTTTATCAAAGCTGATTTAGTCGTCTCTTCACTGGAGTCCTTAGACGAGATGACGACAGATTCTTACCGATGTAGTTGTGGTAGGTTGAGGTTGTTGTGGTGTCCCAATTGAGGGTCAGTCCTAGCAGAGCCGATTTACCAGGATAGGGATTTCGCATAACCGACATTGCCATTAGCACGGAAGCTTACATCACCTTTATCACTGTTTAATAAATTCGTGTATGCATTTATTACGGTATCAATAATATAATTTGTTCCGTTCTTTGAATCCTTTCTACATTGATGAAACAAAATTTTTCATAAAACAAAAATTTTAAAACCTACTTACATGTTTTTTTTTTTTTGCAAATTTTAGATCTGCCCAATTATTAAAGGACGTATGATGCAAAAAGGTAGCTTAATGGTTGGCTATCAACCAGATGATAGAAGACCAAATTTCTTCAGATCAATTATATCATCAGCTGCTGTTACAGAAAAGGATGTCGATTTCATGCTTGATGAAATTCATCGTTTAGGTGATGACTTGTAAATTAGTTTTAGCTTAATTATATATATATATATATAATATATATTATAACTATTGATATATAACAAAAAAAAAACAAATAGTAATATATATTATTTAGAACAGAGAAACTCATATATAAGAGAGAAACAAACACATATATTATTATTATTATATTTAAAAAAGAAAACCAAAGAAATTATAAATTTAAATTTGTTGATTTATTAAAAAAAAAAAAATTATATATATATATATAATTATATTATATTATATACATTGTGCACATTATATTTTAAGTATATTATATAACAAAAAAAAAAAACAAAAAAATTTAATTAACGAAAATAAAAAAAGTTCCGATAAATTCAAACTATTATGAAAACAAAATCAAATCAAATAAATTAATTTTAATTAATTATGCAAAAGAAAAAAATATATGAAAAATTATATAGTAAAAATATTTGAAGAGAAAGGTTTTATGTAATATTTACTTTGTATAACAAAAAACCTATATATATATATGCATACATAAATTACATATTACATAATTATTATGTTATATACAAAATAATATTATAAATAAATAAATTGTTCAATAAAAAAATATTAATTTTAAAAAATTCATACATGTTTATAAAAATATCAAATATTTAAAAAAAAAAAAAATCACATATATAATAAAAAAAAAAAAAAAAAGAATTGATTCAAACGATGTCCCAACCAAGATTATCTTTTGGATAAAAGCATATCAGCCAAAATATTATTAAATTAAAATTGTTTTTTTGTTTGTATAACAGAATATTAAACTATATATAACATTTATTCCTATTGCTTATATTATATTAAATTAATTTTAATTATATTAATATAAATATTAATTATTAAGTTGTTATACATTAATTATATAAATTTTTTAATAATTAATTAAAAATTTTATTTTAATTTATAATATTTTTTTTTTTTTTTTGGAGAACAATTTAAAATTATCTATTATCTATTATATTTGTTCATAATTAATTCACGATAATAATTATTATACAATATTATGTATTTTAATGATGTATATATACATAAAATGTGCATCTTCTACACAATTACATATATACATACTATACATAATATCAATATTGAATAAATTTATAATTTCCCGAATTACACATAATAATTATCATGCATAATATAATAATAATTATGCACGTATAATAATAATGATTATATTATTATATTGCGTTTTTAAATGTTCTCACACATACATATTTATATTGTATTATAAATAAATGTCTTTATATACATAGATATTGCTTGTTATGTCAGTTTTTATGAGAATGTTACTATTATATGAATTCAGAAAGAGACGGTAATTATTATTCTATTTATTATGATTAAAAAAAAAAAGTTAATAATAAAACAAAATTACAATTAAATTTTTATGAAATGAAATTCTATAAATAAAAATAAATCCTAAAAAAAATATATGTATGTATATTATAATTATGAAAGAAAAGCAAAAAAAAATTCTATAAAATAAATTTTTAATTAATTGTTAAAATTAAACCAGAAATATTTTAAATAATAAAACATGAATAAAAAAAATCAAAAAATTAAACGAAATGAAAGAGATAAAGTACCTATATACTATACAATATAATTATTATGTACATACCTTCATACATAATAATTAATTATTATCAAAAAATTTATATAATGAAATTATTCATTTATTGTAAGCGTTCCTTTTACGGTTCACAACTACATCTTTCTACACTCAAGTACAACTAAGTACAACCAAGTACACCATGTAAAAGTGTAGATACGAATATTTACGAAATAGTTACGAAAATTTTTTCCGGTAGATGGCTTCAGATTTTGATATATAAAATAAAAACTTCAATTTTTAACTTTATTTATTGGAAAGTTTTTAACCCTGATTGGCGTTCAATTTGCCAAACTGTGCTCAACTATGCCCGACTACAATTTTTCGTTGAAAGGAACGATCGTACGTTTTGTTTTTTATGATTTAACTTCTTTTATTCTAATTTGCTTTTCTTACTAGAATCTTTTGTTCAATCATTAACATATCAAATCGCGTTTAATTAACATTATATAAATAAATAATTCCATATAAAACGCTTAAATAAATTAATTACATAATTATAATTAAAAAAAAAAAAAAAAAGAATTTAATATAATTTTTTTCTGTGAATGCGTCATTTTGAATGAAAAAGACAAAGAAAACCTATCTAATTTTGCTAAAAAAAAAGAGAAATAAATTGCTATAATATATTTTTTAATAAAAAAACTTTAAATAAAATAAATTTAAAATTTAATATAAATTTAAATTAAAATTATTATTTTATTATTTATTTAATATTTATTAAAAATTTATTATGCAAATAATTAATATTATAAATTAGTATACTTGTGAAATTCACATTAATTATTTTTTAATTCTCATTTTAATATTTTTGTAATATTATCTCATTTTAATTACTCAAAATTATTTCTCTTCTCTTTATTAATAATAATAAAATAATTCTAGTGAATATTTTATTCAATGCTCATGCCTACAGTTTACGCTTTCTCAATATAAAGTTGAAGAGTGTTGAGAATATATTAGAAAATTTTGAATTGAATTTATAAATTGAGAATTTCAAAAATATCACCAATAATAGCTGTATACTTGACTTCTTTGTTTACAGCTATAGACAAAACATTTCAATATTAAACAATTCGATATAGAAAAAATTTGAATACGCTTATTAAAATTTTCTTAAATAGTACCAAAATGTAGGCCTAACACTAGCACTAAATAGTCCTGATTGATACTAATTAGTATCAAAATCAATAAATATGTTAATTTATATTATTATTTGTTCCGGATTATTTAATAATTAAAAAACATATTTAATTATTTAAAAAATTAAATTAAAATAAATTAATTATATTTATTTTTATTATTTAATATATTTAATGTACATATAATTCAAAATATATTAATATATATGTATTTTAATGAAATAAAATATTACTTGTATAAATGTATATTAAGAAAAAAATTTAAATTAAATGAAAAAATAAAAAAAAAACAACAAAAATCAAAAAGTCTTCCTTATATACCAAATATTAAAAAAAAAAAATATTATAAAAAAGAAATAATAATAATGTAAAATTATATAAATATAAAATCCCTATATATAATATATAAACAATGTTAAAAAAAAAGATGCCATTTATTAAAATAAATTAAATTCAACAATATTATATAAATATATATATATATATGAATAAAATAAATATATATATTCATATATATATATATATATATATATATATATATATATATATTCATATATATATATATATACTATATATATATACTATATATATATGTATATATATACATATATATACATATATATATTCATATATATATCATATATATAGTAAATAGAAAATAAATAAATATTAAAAAATATAAAATAATTAAAAAAATGTAGATAATATTATATAACAAATAATTAAATATAAATTATATAAAATTATTAAAATAAATTAATAACTTTTGCATTATAAGCAATAAATAGAAATACATATATTAAATTGAAAATAAAACAAATATACGAATTAAAAAACAAAATATCGAAAATAAAGAAAAAAAAAAAACAATATATAAATTTTAAAAGAGGATTTAATGAAAAAACAAATGCCCTAATGTTCAATTAATATATGAAAAAATGGTAGTCAATTATAGAGTATAGGCATTAAATAACGTGAATATATTGTGGAAAATTTGTGTTTTTTTTATATATCAAAAATAATGTAATAAAAAAACACACACACAATTTGATATATTAAATAAATTGCAAAATATAAAATAATCAAAAAACGAATTGAATTTGTAATAAGAACACATTCACGGTCAACAAACAAAAAAAAAAAAATTAAAATGTAAAATATAAAATAAATTATACAATATATGTATGTAATTAAAAAATAAAATGTATATCGTATAATTAAAACAATTATAAAATTTTAATTTAATTTACTTAATTCAATTAATTTGAAATTATTTAGAAAAAAAAAAAAATTTCCCACCATTCTCTGTATTTCCACATTTTTCCTAAAATGAGAACGAGAAATTTTAATTTATTTGGAATGAGAATTTGAAACACTCATAATTACATTTCGGAAAAATTGGAATATGGAACAGAATTTATATTTCAAGAGAATTTTTAATTAAAACGTTAAATTGTTGCTTTTAATATTATTTTTGTTTGTATAACAAATTTTATTTTATATCACAGTTTAATTTCTTATACTGTATAACAAATACTGTATAACAAATTTTATTTTATATCACAGTCTAATTTCTTATACCGAATTAGATAAAGCCGAATTCCACTTAAACTAATTGCATGAAATCATTAAAAATTTGATAAAAATATTTCGAGAAAATATAGGTTTTTGGCTGATCTTCTTAAAGATAGCAATATTTGATATTTTTCAATTTAATTTTGAATAATTTCTGTATATATTAAATAATATTATAACTATACATATATATATTTTTTATTTAAACAATCACTAATTCCACCGACTTTTCAAATTTAATCACATAATTTGTTACTATATATAAATTAATATCAATTTTATTAATTATTCAATAATAATTTCAAAGTATAAAATTATAGAAAATAATTAAAAAATATTTTATATATTTTTATTAATATTAAAAGTAACAGTTTTTCATAAAACAAAAACTAAAATTATTAACAAAAAAAAAATTCCCAAAATGCTTTCAAATACTTATATTACTAATTATTATAATAATAATAATCAAAAAAAATAATTGATAATTTAAGAATTAATTAAAAACTAAAAACAATTATATCTGTATACCATTATAAATTTTATTTATAAATATACTGTTATTCAATTAAAAATTAATTTCATACAATATAAAATTAAAGATCCCATATAAATAATTAAAAATTTATAAATTTTTATATAATTATAAATTTTCAATGTTAATATTTAAAATATAGAGAGATTTGATATGGCAGTCATTTAATTATATTAATAGGACCAGTTACCATTTTCAATTATTAATATTTTATATTATAAAAATCTATATTATAAAATTAAATACGTGTTCAATTCGATTTTTTTATTACAAAAAATAATTATTATATTAATTGGAATAAAAATATAAAATTATGTATATGGTAATTTTTTATTATCTTATATTAAAATAAATTGTGAATATTCACAATTTTCCAAAATAATTATGTATATTGAGAAGAGCAAAAGAAATATAAACATATTATATAGATCCTGTTAAGAAGAGCAAAAAAAAAATATATGTATATAAATTATACCCTATAA